TGCCCGGGTCCCCGGGCCTCTCGGGCACCTCCCCCAGCGGGTCCCTTTCCCCCCAGCCGGTCCCTTTCCCCCCAGCCCAGGACCGGGCGCCCCGCCCCCTCCCCGAACCACCCCGGCAGAGCCTCTCTCTCCAGAACACCCCTCCTTGGGCCCCGCCGAAAGTTTGACTCTAGGGAAGGTAGGAAACGGCCACCCGGTAACTGAGGTCCCTGATCCTCTGACCCAGGCTCCGGGGGAAGCCCGGGAGGAGGTAGTAGAAGGGAGATGCGTGGGGGGGGGGGGGAGTTATCGCGATATTTCCCATCGCCAGCGAAGGCAGTAGGGGGCCGACAGACTGGCCCCTCTTCCACCGGGGAGCCCGGCTGCCCCCTCCCTCCCCTGGCCCTCCTTCCTCTAGCTCTGAGGGGGTGGGACCTCTCGGCCAGCAGACACCCCTGCCCCTCCTGTCTCCACCCTGGGCCCAGGCATGCCTCTCCCCCTCCCCCACTGCCCCCATCTGCCCAGAATTGCTCCGGATGACTTGAGGTGGGGAAGGAGGGGGGGCTGAATTTGCCTGTAAATATTGTGGGAAGTGTTACCCCGTGCTTCTCCCTGGTCTTTGTCTCTTAGAGTAACCCACCCCCACCCCCCGTACGTATACATGCCTCAGTCTCTCCTGAGCTCCCTGTTGCTTGGGGGCGGGGTGGGGGGAGTCCAGGGTTGTCTCCCGGTTGTCTCCCGCTCTCCTCTGATGCCTCCTTCTCTGGGCCTCTTGCAGTTTGTATCTGTTCCTGAAACTCCTAATTTCTCTCCTTCCTCCCGTCTCCTTTCTCCCGTCTCCACTCCGTTCCAAGGTGTTAGTCCTTGGAGAAGGAGCATAAAGCCAGCTCTGTTGCCGCTTTTGCGCGCGGAGGTTTTCCCAGGGGCTCCCTGGTTTGGAGTTGGGGGTTGTGGCCTTAGAGCTGTCTTTGGAATGCGGCGGGAAACAGACCCCAGGTGAGACCTGGAACTCAGCATCCGACCCTGCGTGGCTTGAGTGGGGTTCAAATTGGAGTCTTTGGGGGTGGGCAGGAAGGTTGGGGGGGGGCTCTCTGCTGCCCCTGGCCTTGCCTGAGAGATCGTGGTGGATGGAGCTGTTGCCATGGGAATGGGGAGAGCCTGGACAGGAAGAGGCTACATCTTTGTGCAAGTCAGATGCCCACCCTACTCCTCCAGCCTCTGGCCCCCGGAGTGGAGGTCAGGAGCTGCACTGCCTTTGTTGCTGGAAGACTTAGTTATAATTTACCCTGGGTGGATGGGGGATACACGAAAGGTTAGTGTATATTGCCAGCTCTGCTTTCAGGCAGGGATGGGGTGGCTGGGGGTGGCCTGTGCATCCAGCAAGTGTGGGCCTGGCTCTGGTCTGGCTCTGGGTGTGATGGGGTGTGTCTGGCCCGGTGTGTGTGTGTGTGTGTGTGTGTGTGTGTGTGTGTGTGTGGTGTCTGTCTGGCCTTGTGTGTTGTGTGAGAGAGATGGAGGGGGCGTGTCTGGCTTTGTGTGCATCTGTGTGTATTCGGCAGTGTGTAGCTCTGGTTGTATATTTTGGGTTTGGTCTTTGTTTGATCTTTGTCTTTGTTTGTCCCTCTTCCTGCTTCAAAGTGAGAATGTGTGCTCATGGTCATATTTGGGCCAGACTCTGACCTCTCCCAGAAGGCTCACTTATAAGGAACCCGGAGTCCTTCTGCCTTCCACCTGCCTGGCTAGGGAGTCAGGCCAGGCTTGTTGGTTTCTTAGAGGAGAGCAGAGCCTGGTCTGGGTGCCAGTGTGGAAAGAGCACCGGAATGGGAGCACAGGCAGTTTCTACTCTGAGGACGGCCAGTGTGTTACTGCGTGGCCTTAGCTAAGTCACTTCTTTCTGCATTTCTTCATCTGGAAAACGAAAGAATTGGACAAGACGCCTTCTCAGAGCCCTTCTACTTCCGCAGTTCTAGGTGTCTGGATGTGACCTTGAGAGACTCTTCCCAGGACCTGGTGATTTTCTAGTGGGGAGTGGGGCTAATTTCATGGGCAGGAAAGGCAGAGCAGAGAATGCTGTCGTGGGTTATCTGAAAGAGCAAGGGCCTCTGGGTTCTCAAAGACGGCCTGTTTTGCAGAAGAAAATGAAAACAAAAACAAAAAACCCCCAAGAGAGCCCCAGATGCAGAGAGCTTCCAGGAAAAGACTGGCTAGAATGATGAGATGGGGTGTGTGTGTGTGTCTGTAATTAGTAGGGGCTTTGAGGAAGAGGAAAGACCAATGTCAGGCTTGAATGGAAGGAGGAGCTCGCGCTGGGTGCTGACCCAGGCTCCTTTCTTGCTGCTATGACCCAGAGCCCCTGGGGCCAGGATGGGCCGCCCAGCCTTCATACCCTTGCAAAGACAGTGGTTTGGGGACAAAAGCTGTTGAAGGGCTTGGCTGCAGTTGGGCTTGGGGGATGGCGCACAGGTCCACTGTGGTGGTGTCGATGGGACTGACCTGTTAAGGCCACCTCAGGCTATTTCCCTTCTCCCAAACTCTTCCCTAGAGTGATGACAGCTAGAGGTCTGGCCTCTGGCACCCCTCTTCCCTCTCCTTCCCGAAGTGCACCCGCCAGTTGGCAGCCGGGAGGAACTGGGGGTCAGGTGTGGGGCCCTGAGGCCTTGGCATGGGGGGGAGGCGTACAGTGGGGGAACCCAGCTCCTGTTTACAGTTGTTCTTGGCACCTGCTGCCTGGGCCCTGCAGGTAACCATGGCAATCAGGTGAGGAACCAATCCGTGCTTCTCCCCACCCCCAGCCCCAGAGGTAACAGGCTGAGGCCCCTGGGGACAAGGTGGGGGGAGCCCAGAGTGCGTCAAGGGGGCCTGCTCTTACAGCAGAGGAGGAGGAATATTTCCGTGCAGTCAGCTCCACGGCCTGCCTTTCCCCGTGCATCTAGAAAGGAGCACGAGGGATAATCTTGGTCTGAATGCTCACAAATGCTCACGGAAGTGAGAGGGTAGAGGTCACGGCCACTTGCCTAGGAACTCCTGTGTGTTAAGGCTGCGGTCTACCTGGCAGGGAACTGCATTGGGAGTTCTTAAGAGCAGGTGTCTGTTTGGAAAACCTGGCCGGTGTGATTGAGGCGACTGAGGCAGTGGGAAGCGCCTGTGTGTTTGTGTGTACGTACATGCGATGCTTGTGTGTGTGTGTGTGTGTGTATGTGTGTGCATGCGCGCGTGTGAGAGGAAGAGACAGAGCCAAGAGTGAGATGCGCCAGTCGCAACCTGGGCACCCAGCATCGATCCGAATCTGTCTATGCGTGCATGCATAGGTTCATGCAGACACACACACACACAGGACACGCGGTCACACAAAGTAGTTTTGGAGGCCCGGACGTCACGTACACATCCAGTGGATATTACGCACGCTCAGCAAGACAGCCACTTGGAGTTTGCTCTCTTCCTGGATGGTTGTAATAATATTTGGGCATCTTGCCAGGGACGGGGTTACTATGGAAACGACCAAACAGTGGAGTAGCAAGCAAGCCGCCTGCATAGTTGTTAAGGGGGAGCCCTTGCAGGGAGGCTGGCCTAGGCCGCCCTCCTTGGGACAGGGACCCCTTTCCTTCCTTAGGCCAAGTCTGCACGTCCTGGCCACTGGGTCTCCACGGGCTCCCTGGGCTTGCTTGTTCCCCTCTGTCTGCCCTGCAGACTTGGTGTCTCTCCCTCGTGTGGCCTTTGTGTCTCTCCATCTCTTCGGGTCTCTGGGCGTCCTCTGTTGGCTGTTTGGGTCCTGGCCAAACATCCTGGGGTCTCTATAGAAACTGTTGATCCTGGCTGTGAATTTCTGGTCCTAGAAAACCCAATATGGTGGCTTTAGAAATCTTTCTGGAAAGGAGAGAAGGGGGTATGTTGTGAAGGGGTCTTGGGGGCTTGGCCGCCCTCCCAAGCCCCGCCCCTTGGGCTTTTACTCTGGGAAAGAGGAGGGAGGGAGGGGCCTCCCCTTTGAGGTGCAGGTTTGATTTTATACCAAGAAGTTAAGCGTATCAGCCAATCCAGAATTGAGCTCTGCCTGACCTCCCCGGTCCCTGCCAAGGCCTGGCTGGGTGCTCGGGGCTGCTACAGAGAGAACTTTCTGCCCAGCTGGGGCAGGCATATCTCTGAGAGCCTGGGGTCTTGGTACTGGACAGCTTGTGGACAGGCAGAGGGAGTGGCGGCAGTGCCCACGTGGGGAAGTTGCTGTGTGTGCCTCGGAGGGATGACCAGGGGACTTGTACAGTGGGCCGCCCAGCGGGGACTGTGCGGAAGGGGCAAGAGCGGTCTTTTTTGTTGCCCAGGCTCTTTGCCGTGTCCTGCAGGGTCCGGGGCTGGGGTCAGGCCGGAGCTGCGTGTCCCCAACTTCGGGCATGTAAAGACCGCCCCCCTATTTCCTGCCTGAGCACCAGGCCTGGAACCTGAGTGGGCAGCGTATGGTGGATTTCCGGGGAGCTACTCCGGGCCCAGGCTGGGCGCAAAGCCAGGAGGATGAGTGGTGGGGTGCTCCCTCTAAACTTAGGGTGGCCCATGCCCACGGTGTTTCCAGGGCTGCCTTCCTGGGGGAAGAGTGACAGGGTGGAAGAAGGGTAGGATGGAGTAGAAAGACCGGGGTAGGAGCCTTGCGACGGAGTAGAGGGGACTCTGTTTCCTCGGCTCCTAGCACTCAGAGGTGAATACGGATTGGGATCAGGGATATTTTTTTAAAACTCTGTTCTCTTCCATTTTCCTGCCTCCCTGTACCCTCTGGAGGGTTGGTCCCACCTCAGTCTTTGCTCTCGCATTTGAGATGGAACCTGATGTTGTCGGTAAAGGTCACATGAGTCCCCAGAAGCCCCCGCACCAGGGGAATACCCAGAGGGGCCAGAAAGAGCCGGCCCCACACATGTAGCCAGTCTGGCCTCAGAGGCAGAGAGCAAGAGCCTTGGGCCTGGGGACACACGTTGGGCGGCGTGGACTGTGGGCGGGGCTCTTGGCTCACTGCAGTTTCTGAATCCACTTTCATTTCTCAGGGTGACGCTCCCCAGGCCCCCTGCCCCCCACCCCGGCATCATGCATCGGACCACACGGATCAAAATCACAGAGCTGAACCCTCACCTCATGTGTGCCCTCTGTGGGGGGTACTTCATCGACGCCACTACCATCGTGGAGTGCTTGCATTCCTGTGAGTTGGGCGGGTGGGCTGCTGCTCAGGATGGCCCGTCTTTGGCCGGGTTGGAGGGGCACTGCCTGGGGAGGGCAGAGCGACGGGCTGTTGCCATCCGTGCAGAACAGGACCACGTCGAGCCTTTAAACGGGTTGAAGTGTGGGGACAAGGTGGAGGGAAGGGATGCCTGGATCGGAGCAGAGGCTGTGAGGGGCTGGTCCTGGATTATGAAGGGGGCTCTCACTCTCCTTTCTTTCTCCACTGCCTGCCTCCTCCCCCCTCCAGTCTGCAAAACCTGCATCGTGCGCTACCTGGAGACCAACAAGTACTGCCCCATGTGTGACGTGCAGGTGCATAAAACCAGGCCGCTGCTGAGCATCAGGTGCGCCCGGCGCTGTCCCTCCTGCCCACGCCGATTCTCTGGGTCAGCCGCCCTCTGCCCCTCAGCCCTCCTTGCGTCCTACAGCCAAGGTGGCAGGTGGGGGAGAAGCATAGGGCATCGGCGCAGGGCCCCTCCCCTCCCTCTGTCTTGTGTCTGGCTAGTCTAGGCTGAGAAGTATTAGAAGGGTAAAGACCATGCCTGCAGGGACCCTGGTGCCTGGGCCCTGGATCCAAGGAGGGGAGGTGGGAACAAGGCTTCTTGGCTGGGGAGATCGGCGTGAGTTGGTTGCCGACAGGACTCTGCTTTTTCCAGATCTGACAAAACCCTCCAAGACATTGTCTATAAACTGGTCCCTGGGCTCTTTAAAGGTATCTATCTACACATGCTTCATCCTGCCTGCTTCCTCCCCTCCGCCCCCTCCCCTGCCCGCTGCTCCCTCCTCATTCCTCACCCCGCTTTCCTCTTCCAGATGAGATGAAACGACGGCGGGATTTCTATGCAGCATACCCCCTGACTGAAGGTGAGTGTGTTTGCTTATCCATTCACACGAGCGTGTGGCGCTGCCCCAGGCACGTGGGCTGGGTGCCCCCGGGTGTCTGCCTGGCGCATTTCACTGCATCCCCGCCCCAGGTCAGAGGATGGCAGCTCCGAGACTCCACGGTCCTTGGTGGGGCACCTTTCCCCGTCCTAGGCCAGCCCCTCAGACCCCTCTCCTTCCGCAGTCCCCAATGGCTCCAACGAGGACCGTGGTGAGGTCCTGGAGCAGGAGAAGGGAGCTCTGAGTGACAGCGAGATCGTCAGCCTCTCCATTGAGTTCTATGAAGGTGTCAGGCAAGTCTGACCCACATCTGGTTTTGGGGGTCCTAGGCAGGGTCTCCCCTTTCTCCCATCCTGGCCCCCTTCCTCTAGCCAGAGAAGGTGTCTCTGGGAAGGTCTTCTGGGGTCCTGCCTGCTTCAAGGTCTCCCTAGCTTCATTGTTTCTCTTTCCCCAGGGACCGGGAGGAAAAGAAAGGTCCTCTGGAGAATGGGGATGGGGACAAAGAGAAGGTAAGTGCTGGGGACCTGCCTAAGGGCTGGCTGCGGGGTGGCAGAGAGTGCCTGGGTGCACCCCAGCCCTCGGGCGCTTCTCCCCCAGCAGACAGGGGTCCGATTCCTGCAATGCCCAGCGGCCATGACCGTCATGCATCTCGCCAAGTTTCTTCGCAACAAGATGGACGTGCCCAGCAAGTACAAGGTGAGCCCCTGGGCCCTTTCAGAAACCGAGTGCCCGGCGTAGGGCTGCATCTGACAATCTGTGCATCCCAGGCACTGTTCTGAGCCGGCTGGGTGACAGCAAGGACTTGCGCGGTTGTGTAACTGAGCTGAGTAGAAGGGTAATTGAAGCCAAGGTTAGGGCGGTGTAGTCTTTGTCTGTTGAAGCCAGTGTGCAGAGGTGCGTGGGACCAAGACAGAGAGAGAGAGAGAGTGTGTGTGTGTGTGTGTGTGTGGTAGAGGTATGTGTGCAGCAGTACAGGGTCTCGCTGGGGCCAGCTGCCTGAAGGAAGGCCAGTCTGAAATGAGACTGGATGGCACTTTTCAAATTTGAATACGTCACCGATTCTCTACAGATCTTGTTGAAGTGTAGATAGGTTCTGCATTCCTAGCAAGGTCCCAGGTGCTGCCAGTGCTACCAGTCTGTGTACCAAACTTTGGGTATCAAGGCTCTAGGACAGCAGATCCCAAACTTTGCTGCGGATCAGAATCACATGGGAAGCTTGACACCCTGACTCCTGTCATACCAATTAAATCAGAAAGTCTGGTGAGATCCGAGCATGGAGTTTTTTTTCAAAGCGTCCAGGGCCTTTCCGCTGCAGCCTGGCGAGAGCCAGTGCTCTGCAAGGTCTTTCTCCCCTGGGCTTTTTCTTTGCCCCTACTTTGTCCCTGGAGGACCTGCCAGAGATTGAGGGGTTCAGAGAACTGTGCGGACGGCTGGAGGCAGGGGGTGTTAATGATGCGGATATCTTCTCTGGATCCTTCTCCATCTGCTGGTCTGGAGTTCTGCTCCCAACCCTGATTGGGAAGTCAAACCCAGAGTGAAGCCCCAAAGTCCTAAGGGGACGCCTGCCCATGCCTCCTCCCCCTGGCCCCACCTCCCACCCCTAGCCAGGAGCCTCTTTGCCAAATGGCTGGAGCCTTGAACCTGACTGGGGTCACGGTGTCCTGCGTCTCCTCTCCCAGGTGGAAGTTCTGTACGAAGATGAGCCACTGAAGGAATACTACACTCTCATGGATATAGCCTACATCTATCCCTGGCGGCGGGTGAGCTGGGCGGGGTGGTGCAGGGTGTGGACAGGGCCGGAGGGGGACCCTGCACGGTCTGATCTTGATCGCTGGCCACCGTGACCACACAGTGACCAGTAATCACAGTTCATGCCTTGTCCCATGAGCTGGGGATGTCCAGGGTGGCCTGCCACTCTCTAAAGGAGAAGAGGACCCTTTGGCAGATCACAGGCCCTGATGTGGGCCAGAAAGGAGGGTCGGGGGGCTGGGGAGGAACAGATACCGCTTCCCGCTTTCCAGCCTCTCCCCTCTCCAGTCTCTGGCTTTGCACGTTCTGCCTGCCTCTCTGGGTCTCCGTGTGCCCCTGGGTCTCTGGCCTTCCTTGGTCAGGCTCGTTAGCCTACCCTCTCTTCTCCCAGGCCTGGACACCTTTCCTCCCTCTGGGCACTGTGGGGTGAGGGTTGGGTAGCTGCCTGGGTAGCCTCTTTCTCCCGATACCCTCCCCTTCACTGCCTCTCTGCCCCGCTCCCTGCAGAATGGCCCTCTCCCCCTCAAGTATCGGGTCCAGCCGGCCTGCAAGAGGCTCACCTTGCCCACAGCACCCACCCCCTCGGAGGGCACCAACACCAGCGGGGCATCTGAGTGTGAGTCAGTCAGCGACAAGGCTCCCAGCCCTGCCACCCTGCCAGCCACCTCCTCCTCCCTTCCCAGCCCAGCCACCCCCTGCCATGGCTCTCCCAGCTCCCACGGGCCCCCAGCCACCCACCCTACCTCCCCTACTCCCCCTGCGACAGCCAGTGGGCCCACCACAGCTGCCAACGGGGGTACCTCGAACTGCCTGCAGACACCATCTTCCACCAGCAGGGGGCGCAAGATGACTGTCAACGGAGCTCCTGTGCCCCCCTTAACTTGAGGAAAGGGACCCTCTTCCCTCCTTTTCCAGCCATGCCTCTCCACCCCTCCACTTTTTCTGGGCCCCTTTTCCACCTCTTCTACTTGCCCCAGCTCCTCCCGCCTTAGGGGTGGGGGGCGGGTTTTATAAATAAATCTATATATATATGTACATAGGAGAAACCAAATATACATACTTATTTTCTATGGACCAACCAGATTAATTTAAATGCCACAGGAAACAAACTTTATGTGTGTGTGTATGTGTGGGGGGGGGTGTTCATTTTTACGGGGTCTTGTGTAATTTGCCCTGCTTGTTTTGGGGGTGCCCGGAGGTGGACTAGAAGGGCCGCTTGAGGCTCAGTGAAGCTCTACTCCATCCTCCTCCTGTTTCCCAAGGCAGATGGGGTGTTGGGGGAGCTCCACCAGCCCCCAAAGCTTTAGGCACAACTCCAGCTGGCCGTGAACGCCGTCTACCTTCTCTCCCCATCTTGGCTGCTGTCCGGCCTTATCAGCACCCCGCCCCTGCCCCCCCCCCATCCATTGTTGAATGTCCAGAGAATTGCTAAGACAGTGCCTTTTACAAATGCATTTATCCCCTGGTTCTGAGGAGGGAGTGGGTGGTGAAAACGGCATCTCCCTTACAGGCATCTCCCTTACCTCCTCGTCTTGCAGTGGAAACTTTGTGCAAAGAATAGATAGTTTTGCCTTTTTATCCCCCCACCCCTACCCCCGGCCCTGTGTGTGTGGCCTTTGCATCGTTATCTTGTGGAAGCGAAGGTTCAAGCCACGGGAAGCCTTGGCCCTTGAAATTCCACTGTGGCTTTAGCCATGTGAACTGCTTCACCCCGTTCTGGCTCTGTCTCCCCATCTCCCCCCACCCCCAAAAAAAACTTTGACTAGTGAGGCTGGCGGGAAAGTCCCATCTGGGGGCCTGGAGTGCAGTGGGGAGGTGGAGTGCGGCTAACCTCTGACAAGCACAGACCCCAGAATGTGCCAAAGGCCAGCAGCCCTCCAGGCCCCTCCCCACCCCCCCACTGAGGCAGAGTCAGGCAAGAGCAAGAGAGGCGACTAAAAGCACAAGAAAACAAGACTGTATGCTCTGACCTCTGCTCCATCCCGAGAGGTCCGTGGACTGCCCCCTGCAGGGCAGACCCCAGCAGATCCCTGCATCCCGTTTTCCTTCCAGTGTACATAGATCGGGGAGGAGGTGAGGAGGCAGGACTCCCTTGCAACCTAGGTGTTTGGGGTTGGGAGCGCCCCCGTCAGGTGTGTCTGTGTTTGCACCTTGTCCTGTGTCTGAGGTGCTGTGACTGTACCCTCCTGCCCTGGGACCTTTGTATCTCCTGGCTTTGTAATAAATGCTGCATACTCTCTGGACCCTGTAGTTCTTTGGGGGACAGGGGACAGGGAAAGTGGGGGGGTCCCTTGCCCTCCTCATGTCTCTTGTCTCTGGGCTCAGCCTGCCTTGGGAGACCTCATACGGAACGAACGTGAGCTGCTCCCTCCCTGAGGCCAGTGGGATGCCCCATCCCAGATCCCCAGCTGGGATGGGCCATGTGCCTCATACCAGTGACCACAAGAACACCACTATGGGTGGACATTTTGTTTAATGTCATGTTCACCAGCAGGCGTTGAACCAAGGGCGTGTTCCCGGCTGCCCAAGAGACCTCTGGTATCGGGGGCCAGCCCTTCGCAAGCCAGCAGTGGGTCCTGGGGTTCCTGGGTGGTCCTTTCTTGAGTTCAGCATTCGGTTTCCTTCCCTACCAGTGGGGTACCTGGCAGAGGCCTGGGGCTGGACAGGGGCCACCCCCTCAGAGCGGGGAGCCCACTTCCGCCTTCTGCACCCGCTCGCTCCTGTGAGTGCCATCGCAGTACGGGGGTTTCTGGGTGGCCTTGCAGGTACAGAGGGCCACTACACGGGTCTCCTGGGCCTTGAACTTGAGTGGGGATAGGCCAGTGCGTTGGAAGAAGTGAGAGCCATCACAGAAGGGCTGGTAAGGGAGAGAGAGAAGTTAGAGACACTACCCCACCTGCTGGACTAGGGTTGGTATGGAAGGAATAGTTTAGGGCTCAGGCTCCTCAATGAGACTCCCTGGGTCCCCTAGTTTTACCTCCCGCACCTGCAATGCGAGGGTAATAGGAGAGCTGTCCCTAGGAAATAAAACAATGGTTCTTTTGCATTTTGCCCGTGGTAAGCATTCAGTAAGTATGAGTCTTTAATGCATTAGGCTCTGGGGGACCCAGAGGGCCAGGATAAACGACAGGATTTTCAAGGTGAATCAGTGCTGATAGGGTGGATTTTTTTTTTTTGGTTTATTTAATTTTTGAGAGAGAGATGGGGTACAAGTGAGTGATGGGCAGAAAGAGAGGGGGAGAGAGAGCAGCAGGGCTCACCCGAAGCTGGGCTCAAACTTACCCAATGCAGGGCCTGAACTCACGAACTGTGAGATCATGACCTGAGATGAAGTCTGATGCTTAACTGACTGAGCAGTTAAAACCCCTCTGATAGGTTTTTCTAAAACATCTCTGATGGGGCCCTTGGGTGGCTCAGTCGGTTAAGTGTCCAGCTCTTGGTTTCGGCCCAGGTCAGTGATCTCAAGGTTTGGGAGCCTGCTTGGGATTCTATCTCTCCCTCGCTCTCTGCCCCTCCCTGGCTTGTGTATTTGCTCACTCACGCTCTCTCTCTCAAAATAAGTAAAGTTAAAAATAATAAAATGTCTCGGAGTCTCCATTGCCTCATGAACTTCATTTCCTTCCACAGATTCTCTGGGTGAAAACTTCTCTGTGTGGGAGACAGCCTGCAGGTAGCACTCTGCTTTAGGACTGGGGTATCAACCTTGTTCGGCTCCAGGAAACATGGGCGCCTGTTATCGGGAGTGGATGTTATGGGAGGAAGGGGATGTCCCACAGGGAACAGGGGCAGGAATATATTTCTGGGGAACGGGAACTGAGGCCTCTGCCTTGACTTGCTAGTTAGTTAGGCAGGCCTCCTGAGGTCAAGGCAGGGTAGGAGGAGAGATGAGAGAAGGATACAAATAAAACCCAGCAACCCGTCCCCGAGGGCACCGTGGCTGCCACGCCCTAGAGCCGCTCTACCCTCACGAGGACCTGCTCAGAGCAAGACTGGCAAAGTAGGACCTGGGACCCTGGGCTGTGACACCACATGACACCTCTTGGAAGCACATGGTTCGGAGCTCAGCTTCGGAAGGAAAGGGGCCCTGGAGGCTAAGAATGTGGGTCAGGTTCCTGCTGGAGGGAAGGCTCCCGGGCTGGAAGGGAGAGGGAGGTGGGGGCAATGATGGGGAAAGGGAGGGTTTGCAGAAGGCACTGGCAAGGGGCACCTGGGGGTCTTGCTACTGTTGGGGTCCAAAGCCTGGGAACCTTTGGATCAGATGTTTCCCGGGAGTGGGGAGAGAGGGGGAGAAAGACAACCCAACCTCTCAGTGCTTTGAGCGAGAAGTCCAGACGGCGTTTGGGGGCGGGGGGGGGGGGGAGCGCCAGCAGAGGAGGCCAGGGCCCCGTGCCCCTGCGGCCTGGCTGCAAGACTGAAGTTCTGTCTCTCTGGCCTCATCTGGCCTCTGAGTGGATACAGAGACCAGGGAGCTCGGGGCTGTGCGTGGTGGCCTTGGCCTGACAGCATTCTTCCACCCGCAGCCTCCCTGTGTTGTCCTTCAGGCGTGTGCCGGGAAAGGAGGAAGGTGTGGGGGTAGGAGCTCCCAGGAGATACCTGCTGTCCCACCAGGGGTGTCATATATTGACGACAGAGGGCAGGGGTCTCTCACCTGCTTCTTGCTGCGGCCACATACACACCACCTGTAGGTTTTCCCAGACACCAGCTCCACCCTGATGGGCGTTTTCAAGGCCACCACGGACTTGGCTGGTGTTTTAGGGAACCATCGGGCCTGTGGCAAGGGAAGATGAAGGGCTGGCGGTCAGCCCCACGCCCTGGAAGCACTTTCTTGCCTATGGACTTGTCCAGTTTCCCAGTGGCCCTGGCTTATGGCGGCCTTCCTCTGCAGGAGGCTGATCTGATGCCACCCCACAAGGACATTCTCTCCCACAGGACACCCTAAGGACAGGGAAGAGATTTCACGCCCACATAGGCACTCGGGCTTCTGGGCACCCCCGCTACCTTCCTTTCAAACCCAGACTCCCACCTGGGGCCTCGGAAGGGGAGAGCCAGGATCCCGCCCGCCCAAGCAGGGTCACCTGCACCTGGGACTACGTTTATCAGGCACTGCTGTTCCCAGCGTGGAAAGCCTGGCTCCCCGCCCTGTGCCCTCTGGTCACCCTACCTTCCCTGAGCCAACTGGGAAGGTGGCTACAGTCAGGGCTGGCTGAGGTTGGAGTCTGGGAAACAGGGCTGACTCTCTTGTTCGTTCTCTGATCTCTAGCTTTGGGGTCTCTGGGACTGGGGGACTTGGGCGGAGGGAAGGGGAGACTGGGCACTCACCAGCCAGGAGGAGATGTCCCGACTCTGGTTCAGCTTCTGCAAGGTACGCAGGCATGACTAGACGGTGGTTTGGAAACAAAAAAATACAAGAAAAACTAGTCAGTGGAAAGCGTTGGACTCCCAAAAGGAAGTCATCTGGAAGGGACTTGTTGTGGGTGGGGGGGGGGGGGTAGGAGAAATAAGAGGGCAAGAAAAGGGGTCACAAGACAGGAAGTGAAGTTGCGGGGGACACCCAGCCTGCGCTCGGCGACCGAAGGCTGCAAGGCACCAGGCACCAGGCGAAGCGGGACTTGGGGACGCGCAGCCGAGGGACCAGCGGGGCGGGACCCGGGAGGGGAGAAGTCGGGGGTAAGGGCGGCCGGCGGCGTGGGGTCGGGGTGCTCACCCAGGCCGCGGGCCGCAGGGGCGCCCCCAGGCCGCCCATGCGGGTCCCCGCGGCTGCGCCGCGCCGGCTCCGCCCCGCGCCCGGGTCACCTCCGGCCCCCGCCCTCCGGGCCGGCCCAGCTCGCCGCGGCCCGGAAGACGCCGCGGAGCTCCGCGCGGGTGGGGGCCGGGGCCCGCCGCCGCCGGAAGCCCGGCCGCCCCCGCTCCCCCCGCAGCCTCCCCGGGGGAGTGTGGCCCGGCGTCCGCTACGGTAGCGCCGTGCACGCGGAGACACCGGCGGGGAGCCTCGCCTCCGCTTTCCCGGCCTGCGCCTCCCCGTGTGGGCGGGGACCTCCCGGGACCAGCCTCTCCGGCGGAGGCTGTGGCAGCGTCTCCCGGGGCGCGGGGGGGCTTCTCACGCAGGGAACCTGCGCCTGGCCCAGGCGTGCGCATCACATCCTTGTGGGTGGGCACAGGTATTTGGGTCTTCGGAGCATACGGGTCTGTGAAGTCCTATTCTAGATGCTTAGAGGAATGTAATCGACCCCTACTCCGTCCCCCTCCCGAGGCTCCCACAGTTGGCACGCCCCTCCCTTTCCCTTCAATAAAGCCAGACAATGCAGGGGTCTGTGGATTTTTTTTTTTTTTTTTGTAAAACATTCTTTTATTAAAAGAACAAGTGCTGTTTACGAACTGCCCTTCGTACAAATAACATCCGTTATACAAAGATACAAGATCCGGGTTATGCACAATTCCAGGCTCGGAAGTGAAAGGAGGGGGCATTGCCTTTTGGGCTGAGGATATAAAGGAGGTTCTAGAAAGAATGTAAAAGGAGCCCCTGGGTTTGCAAACTCTGGCTTCCCCTCCCTGCTCCCCTCGGAAGGGTCTGCTACATTGAGACAGGCTGGGATGGACAGAGGGAAATGGGGCTGGGAGTCAGGGTTTGGGTCTCCAGTCCTGCCACCTGAGTCCCAAGTTGGGTTGGAGGAAGTGAACAAAGGGCAATGAAGGCACCCCCTCAGTCCCCAACTTTTCAGTAGATCAAGTCAAAGCGGTCGGGAGCTGGACACGCTTTGAATCCGGATTGATGTGACTGGTGGGAGCCAGGGTGCTGTGCCCGGCCCCCTCCAAATTCCCCCACTGAAGGGACCTTCATCGCTCTGGGCACCTCTCCCCAGGAAAAATATACACCGAGATAGAGGAGCAGTGGGAGCAAACTGCCTGCTCCTAACTTTGGCCCACCACTCACCAGGGAAGATGCTTGAAGTTGGCAAGGGGAGCCCGTGCTCTTGAAAAGCTGTCTGCATTTCCAGCTCAGGGGGGAAAGGGGTGTGTGGACGTTACCCTTTTTCGGAGCTGGCCCCTGGCTCTGGCTCCCCTCACTTGCCTAGGCCTTCCCCAGCAGTACTTCCCTAGCACTCAGTAGAGGAATGGGTAGGGTGCTCTCAGCCTCAAGGTTAGGGCACCAGGAGGCGTCTGCAGACCCAGGAGCCTGAGGGGAAGACACACACACAAATAGGAAAAACTTTAAAAAAAAAAAAAAGCCATCTTTAAAGTGTCGTTGTCTATGGAAAGGATCCATCAGCTCTGAGCTAAGACAATCAGTGCTACATAGATACCCTCCCACCCGGGCACAGCCCTGCACTCACACACACAGGGACAGACAGACAGCCACATGGAGGTGGTGCAGTGGGGGGCGAGAGAGCCCAGGACCAGGAGGCCTGGGTCCTGAGGGCTGGTCCTGGCTCTGCCCCGAGCCCCTGCCCCTCCTAGGCTTGGAGCTATCACCTGTGAAGCAAGGAACTGGCTCAAACCACCCCTAAACACAGGTCCCTTCCAGCTCTGACACTCATGCACCAGTTGTGACCTCAAAGCCAGACAGGGGTTCTGCATGCACACCCCTCACACCTCTGCACTGAGCGTGATCACACACGAAGCTCCGCTCATGCATTTTCAGACTTCATTTCCGCCCTGCAAACCACATCCTTTCTCTCTGCCAGGTAGAGATGTACACAGCTGTGTCTCTTCCCACTCCCCGTCCACATTCGTCCCGGGGAAAGGGACCAAGGCTGGGGAAGGAGGGTGAGGTCAGTATAGCCATCCCCCTTGCACTGGGACCCTGAAGATCTCCAGAAGTTTCTTATAAAAGCTCCCTCCGAAGAAGGAAATGTGCTACCTCTCTCATGCCCTCCTTCCCCAAACCGAGAGACAACAGGAATCCATACCCAGCCTGGGTCCCTTCTTCAAATCTAGCCTACCTGGGGCTGCACCCCAGCCTGGGGGAAAGCTGGAAAATAAAGGCTCTTGGAGATGAGAACCCCAGACTCGTGGGTGCCAGGAGGGAGGGGGAGGCCTTGGTTCCAGTGCACTGAATCATAGGGACCTCTCACTCTCTGCCCCAGCAGCCTCAGAGCCGATTTGCCTTCCACAGCATCCAGAACAGAAGTCGACTTCAGCTCTTAGTGGGCCGGCCCTAGGCAAGGGTGAGTGTGAATGGACAACTCTCCTAAGAACCTCTGGAGGTTCTTTTACTTCTCAGTGGTTCGGGGGCGGGGAATTCGAGAGCTTAATAGATGAAGATGAATAAAAACGCTGAATCCTATCATTTCTTCCTAATTGATATTTAGCATTAATAAAAAGTGAGTATTTCTGAGGTCATCACAACTGCCTTCCCCCCTCCCCCCAAGCCCTTGCAAGTGCCTAAGAAATTGCCTCTGAAGATTCCCACCCACCCTCTCTTTTATCAGCTCCCTAACATCTTACAAAGTCTTATCAACAGGAATATTAATATTATTTTCAGTATCAGAAAAAAACCAGTTGAGCAGCACAGGCAAAAATATATCTGCACTACGTTTCTGTCGTTGCCAAAAATATACACATCTTCTTTTCTTTATTTAAAAAAAAAAAAACCAACAACAACAACAAAAACCCAAACGGAAACACACACACAAAACTCCACACATGCAAACACTGACGAGACACGAGCTTCAGGGAAAGCTGGAAAAGCCTTCTCCCGGCTCCAACCCCAGTGCAACTGAAACAGACACAGGCTTCACCCTCGCCCCTCTCCTGGCTGCCCTACCGGCCCCTCACTCGGCCTTTGTCACCAAAGGCTCTGGACAGGTGGGGGCTCTTTAAGGTGAGAATTGCCCCCACACCCCAGGGGAAATAGCTGGTGGGTGAAGGGACAGTTGTCAGGTCAGCTCAAGCTGAAGGCTCCCCTGGTTGGTGGGGGCAGGGGAGCAAGCTGGCTAATTCCGGGAGGGGGCTTTTCACTAAAGGAAGTGGCACTTTACCCCCCCCAACTCTTTGCCCCATCCCCCCATCCCTGGGACTCCCTTCCCGCCAGGGAAGCAGGACAGACTATCACGGTGGTGGGGGAAGGGGAGGGGGCACTGAGACCATGTGGGGTCTGGGGGAGGGAAGGCAGGATATTACCCTGATTCAAAGCCCCCAGCCCCCATTTACTCTCCAATATTGGAGTACTGTTCCGGTTTTGCTAACCATTCACGCCCCAGAAAGGGACCAAAGTTGGTGAGGTGGGGAGGGTGCAAACAAAAGCTGGGAGCCCCCTTCTGGTGCTGCCTCATCTGAGCACTGCTCCTATCCCTGCCCTCGGCTGCCCCAGGTCCAGGGGGAGTCAGACAGACAGACAGACACACACACACACACACACACACACAGACGCACACGCACAGGCACACGCACTCTCTGAGTCAGGCAGCTCCATCTTCCCACCCTCCGCACTCCTAAATCCAATAGTGCAAACAAGGGACAGGGCACTCAAGGGGGCTGGGCCTCCTCCCCTGCCCTTCCCCATCCCAGCACGGGAGGGCTCCAGAGAGATGGGGAGGCCCGGGCTGAGTTCAGTTCCATACCATCCTGCCCCTCCCTCAGCTCCCTAGTCTGTGGGCTTTCACAAGCTCAGCTTGTAACCCTTGTGGGGGGCCGGGGCGGGGGACTTCTGCCATCTGCCCAGGTTGGGAAGAAACTGCAGGTAAAGCAGGACTACTTTTTGTCGTGAGAGATTTCCGTGCAGGGGCAGGCCCAGGGCCTATCCCCCCACCTCTCCCCACTCAAGTGCTGATCCATTTTATGTGGAGGGTCCAACCAGCCCCCCACTTATGCCATGGCCCACTTTGCTCTTAGAGGACCTCAAAACATTTGCTGAGAGTGGGGGCTCCTAGGTGGCCTTGGAACCTGTCCTCCCCCTGAGCCCCTCACAAAGGGGTCAGTGCAGAGGGAGAGGGGGGCCAGTGGAAGGGGCATCCCTCTCCGTCTCAGTCCTTGGCACCAGAAGCAACCCACACACCCCGGGCCTCAGCACGGGATGCAGGCTGGGGTCTCTCCAGTGTCTGGGTGCGGGTGCCTGCTCCAGGCTAGGACCCCTCAGGCCAAGATCTGCCCCCTCCATTTGGGAGTCAGGAGGGACGGGGTGGATTTAGCCTTTTTCCTGGTTGGCTGAGGTTCCTTTGTCAGCAGTCTGGAAAGAGAGGAAGGGAGGCTGGGGGTTTAGGAGGTGTCTGGTGCTAACACCCAGTTGAGAACAGCTACCTGGGTCAAGGAAGCTGGCGGGTACAGTGAGGGAGCCCCACTGAAGCCCCTGCCCTAGGCTCTTGGGCTAACGTATATATGTTTGTGGGTGCGTGCGCTTGCATGGAGCGGGGGCAAGCTGCCCTGCACAAGGGCACCCGGCTAAGCGGGCATGCGCCAGCCAACGGCAGCACCCTGGGCTCGGGCTGTGTGCCTTAAGAGGAAAGAGGGAGGGCCTTTCTCCAAAAGGCCCACCCAGAGCATCATCTTTTTCTAACTGGTCCACTCGGAGAGGAAACAGACTTTTCTTCCTGGACTTCCCGGAGGAACCCCATTTTCTAACTGGGCCTTTTCCTATCAGCCCGTGCTCAGAGGTTATGGTGTCTGGAGCAGGGCACTTTGCTGGCCTAGGGGTGGTTTCCTTCCTCCTTTTGATGACACACCTAATGATGTACCTTCTGATGCTCCTCCTCTGCCCATCCCGGAGAAGGGAGACGGGACGGCCTTGGGCCCCCTACTCACCCCTCCTTTGGGGCCACTGCCATCCGCCCCCGACAGGCTGAGGAAGGGGTTGGTCTGGGCAGTGAGGACTGGAGGTCCGCCTGCCGCTGCTACTGCTGCGGCCGCAGCTGCCGCGGCCATGAGACTCGTGTTGTTGCCAAGCGAGGGGGCCACCAGGGCTCCGGCGGGCAGCAGAGGTGGGGCAGGTGCCGCGGGCAGCAGGCCAGGGGTGCCTGCCGACAGTAGCGGGGTGGAGCTTCCTGCCAGCAGGCTGGCCATGGGCAGCTGGGAGCCCCCGGCCATCTGCAGCCGCTGCAGCTCCCGCTTCTGCTGGACCTGCTGGATCATCTGGTAGACAACAGTCTGGTGCTCCTGCAAGGGGGCCAGACGCCTCATGGGCCAGCAGTCCCCGGAGCCAGCTTGCCCCGCTTGGCCCAGGCCCCATCCCATCGCACTGGAGCTAGGAGGAAGGAGACCTGGGGAGGGGGACAGTCAAGTTTCTGCCGCCATCTCCCTACTCGGGAACTCGGTCTTCCCATCTGGATCAGAAAGCGGTGGCTGCCCTCAGTGTCTGTCAACTGGGGCACTCTGGGCCAAGTGCTGCAGGAGGCTTAACAGTCTCTGCCTGGCCCCACCCCCTCACTAAATCGTCCCTCGGTTGCTATGACAACACAAACGCCTCTAGGGGTAGTAAGACCCCAAGTTGAGAACTAAGCTGGGTCAATAGTTTTCCATCCTCCCTCACCCCCCTTTGTTTTGTTTCATTGATGATTCATTTATTTTTGTTTTAAACAGGCAAGGTATTTTCAGTGTTCCAAAAACCCAAACAAAATATCCAGGTTTCCCTTAAGCAATCTCCCTCCCACCCCTGTTCCCATCGGGCCCCTAGAGGTAAGCAGTTGCATTGGTTTCCTGAGTATCTCTCTAATGTTTCTTTATGGGAAAACGGTTAGGTTTTCTATTCTTTCAACTCTCCCCTTTTTAAAAGGCACAACTCCTGTTCTCCAAAGGAGATCTTGGCAGAACCCAACACTGTGAGATGGCCCCAAAAGGGGGCTGCTCTGGTTGACAGGGTGTCACTGGCTCAGCCACAGACCCTGAAGATCCTTGGGGCTGGGACTGGAAGCGCTCAGAAACTGAGGACCCACGGCCCCGCAGACCTTCGCGCTAGGGTATGATCTGGGGCCAGTAGAGCACCCCTTCCGCACTGTCCAGGGGCCTGAGAGCACCACCCATGCCCCACAGGGGCCCTCCTCACGGGGCTGGAGCAGCCGGGGAGGGGTCGTTACCGGGGTCAGCTGTGGGGAGGCCAGGAGCTGCTGGAGCTGCTGGAGCTGCTGCTCTTGCTGCTGCAGGAGGTGTCTCTGCTGCTCCGTGAGGCTGAGGTGGGTGACAAAGCACAGACTCTGGGAAGGGGCAGGGAAGCGTGCCTCCCTCCTCCCTGCCAAGTTCCCAGACCCCCTCAGACCCAGGTGGAGAAAGGCAGGGAAGTGCGGTTCTGGAGGACTATAGAGAGGCAGAGCGAGCTCAGAGGCTGCCGTGGGAGGGACACAAGTCAGACGGAAGAGCTTTCCCAGAAGGGGAATCAAGACTGGGGGTGCAAGAAAGAAACCGGCGACTTTGTCCCTGGGAAAGCTACCAGCCAGAGGACACTCACGTCTAACATCTAGGGGGTACCTGGGGCCAAGAGGTGACTAGATTCTATGCCCTCTAAGACCAGAGGACAGTTTTCCTCTTAGGGAGACTGTGGGTGTTTGGGGGAGTCCCTCCCAGAGCCAGCCTCCCCGTCCCCTTCCCCAGGCTGAGCTCTCCCTCACCTGTTCAGACAGCCTGGCAGCTGCAGCGTGGGGGCCCCACCAGCCTGGCTCAAGCCCGCAGGGTTGGGGGCGGCAGCCCCATTCAACCCCCCAAGGAGCCCATTGAGGGGCAGGGCCCCGCTGCCCGCCAGCCCCCCCAACAGCCCCTCAGCCATAGGCATGGCCCCCAGCCCTGCTGCCCCCGGTGCCCGGCCCAGCCCGTTCTGAGGCTGGGGCGGGAGCGGGGCAGGGGCCCCGGGCAGGGCCAGGGGCAGGGTAGCAGGGCTCTGCTGGAGCAGGGGCAGCGGTGGGGGCGTGCTGTGGAAGGACAGCGCCGAGCTGCTGCGGCTGGGGCAGCCTGAGTGTGGGTCCTGGGGAGGGAGGGGGAAGGGAGGGGTCAGAGGGGCAGGGGGCCAGCATGACCTCTCTGGCCCCCGGCCCAGCACCCACCAGCATTCTCACAGAGCACAGCCCTCCCCCCTCGCCCACCTCACCCGGCAGAGCCACCCAGGTGAAAGAAGCAAGGCCCAGAGATAAAGAATCCCAAGAGTCTTCACAAATCATGTTCACAAGTCACTTCCCGGGGGCCCAGCACCCCTTGCAATCCCGGTTGAATCATGGACAATGATGATGGTGGTGGCCATCTACTGAGCCAGAACCAGGGTTCAGTGCATGACCTGAACCATCTCGTTATTCCCATACAGGGATGAAGCCACTGATTCTTAGAAAGGCTTGGTAACTCTGCAGGCAAGAGAGCAGCCGCTGGAGTGAAAGGCTCAGGTTCAAACTCTATGTCCACAGTTCAATGGCTTCACTGGCTTCTGTGTTAGTTTTCTCGCTCACAACGCGGGGGTGTTAGCAGTCCCTACTCTGTAAGGTTACTGGGAGGCCTAAACCCTCAGCTTTGAAAGCCTTAGCCCAGTACATGATTTCAAGAGCAAGTGTGCCATTAATATCTGCTATTATGATGAGTATCATTGCTCAAGTATAAGAACCCAGTTTGACTTCATTAGCAGCCACCACAATAGCAACCAGTACCTAACCCCCACCAATTTACACGGGGATTATTTTGCGAGAGGCACTGTAATAAACCCTTCCCAAGTACTTCTCAGAGGCCTTCCCTAACCACCTCTTATCTCCAGAAGAATCCCTCCCCCCATTCTTCCTCACCGCCCTCAAATTATTTCCATTTTAGCCCTTTTCCTGACTCGTAATGATCACTTTTGTGGATTTATAGTCTACCTTCAGGAGCAGGACTGCGTCCGTGTTGCTCACTGATTGCGTAGCCAGTGCCTGGTATCGAAAGTAGGCACCTCATAATCTTATTTAATGAAGGAATGAATAGGTCAGTCAACCGATTGCTCAGCCAATCACTTCACTGCCCAGCCTCCAATAGCTGTAGGGTGGAGATGAGACCAAAATACCCCAGCGCTTCCCCTCCTGCCCCCACCCTTGCCTCTCCCCGCGGCGCCCACCTCAGAAGATGTGGACAGAGAGTTGTCCAGGCCAAGACTGTTCTTCCCCGGGGGGCTCTTGCTGGTGCTTAAGGAATCGCTGCTGCCGGCTGAGGGAGGGGAGCAGGGAGGGAGGTCAAGGGCTGGGACCGGGGCCAGGTCGCACCGCCCAGCAGAGTCCCCCACTCCCAGACTGGGTGGGAGTCCCCTTACCTTGGGGAGGCAGGCCATAGGGCCCAGGGACTGGGCCGTTGGCGGCAGGCAGGGCGGCAGGCAGGGCAGGGAAGGGCACAGAGAGCTGCACGTTGAGAATCTGCAGCCGCTCCTTCTTGGCCGTCAGGCTCAGGATCTGTTCCTGAAGCCGCTGGTTTTCCTTCTGCAGCGCGTGCAGTGCCTTCAGCATCTCCACGACTGCGGAGAGAGGGTGAGAGCGCCTGAGCCCGCAGACCTGGAGGGGCGGGGCGAGAGGGCCGGAGGCGGGACTTGAAGGGCGGGGCCTGGAGGAGAAAATCAGACTGAGACCTAAAAGAGAAGGCAAGGCGCCTGCTAGCAAGACTCGGGTGAGCTCGGAGAGGCGGGACCTCGGGAGCCCGAGGTGTGAGGACTAGGGGCGGGGCCTGAGGCTCGAGGGTCAAGGCTGCGATCCTGAGCGTAGGCGGCCGGAAGAAGTCGGAGCACAGTAAGGTAAGGGCGAGGAGGCCGCGGGGGCCGAAGGCGGGGTGCGCAGGTGGCGGGTCCAGGTGCGAGGCCTAGCAAGGTAAGTATCAGGCCCGGGGTAGCCAAGAGTTAAGGCTGGGGCAGGGCCAAGGGAAGGTGCCTTAAAAAGTTTGGGGACCTTGAATAAAGAGGTAACCGAGTTTGGGGGTCCTAGGGCAGGTGTCCCAGCCCGGCTCCACCCCTCCTCACTGTTGACACCGGCCTCGCCGTCGCCCTGCTTCTCCAACAGCTGCTCCATGTTAGTTGTTCCGGGGGCCGCTGGGTCTAACTGGGTGCCCCCGCAGGGTGCAGACGCTGTCTGGTCGAAGAGTGCGGGGAGGCTGCTAATGGGGGACCTGGGATCAGAAGAGAAAACCAGGGTCAGGCTTACCTCATGTCCCCACTCCTGCCTCCCTCCTCCCCCCTCAGGGGTTCCAGTCGTCCCCTTTTGGACACCACCCTCTCCTGGCGCCCGTCTCTCCGCCCTCTCCTCCCCCTAGTGTCCCTCCAGCCCCGCTCCCAGCCCCTCCCCCAAGCCGCCGCCCCCTCCCTCACATGGAAGACAGACTCTCCTGGGGGGAGGTCCCCCGACACCGGAAGCTGCAGTCCTCCAGGTCTGGCTCTTGGAACGAGAAGGGGAGCAGGGATCAGCGGGGAAGGGGTGCCGTCGGCCTCACGGTCCCCGCCTGGGAAGTGGGTGCGGGATCTGGGACTTCACCGCAGACCCCTTTCCCCCAGGATCTCCCCCAACCCCAGACTGGCAGTTCTAGCTCGTGAGACGCTGGGAGCCCTGGCTTGGAAACCTGGCCCCACGGGAGGCAAAGCCATGGGATCTGGTCTCTTCCCTAGGCACAAAGACCGCTGCCTGGCTTCTTTAAGAACCATCTCCCAATTTCTTTCCTGGTGTTTTCAGGGTTATAGAAATTCGGGGTCTACACAGTCCTGGGTTGAACTTGGACCTGATGCTTGCCATGTGACCTTGAATTTGAACCTAATCTCTCTGAAATGATTTGTGATGAGGATTACAAATAAGGTAATAAATGTGAAGTGTTAGCTGTCCTGCAGCAAGCCCGTAATAACTATTATAATTAGTTTTGTGCGACTTCTCACATTCATAAACTCACAAGTTGCAAAACCTTTTTGTTGGGCCACAGAATTCCAATGTGGGGTTTGGAAAACGTAGTCACCCTGCGCTGTCCGGTCATTAATTCTGTCGGGTCATTCGGCCCCTTTTAGAAAGTTTACCTGAACTGGAGGCCGGGAGGTAGGCCCCGCCCCCTAACCGGCCAGGTGGTGTCTCTGCACCAATCAGCTCTCTGGGGCTGGGTTGACTCTCCCGGGAGTGGGAGGGGCGCTTGTGATCCTCCCCCTTAACTCATAAATACCCGGAGAGCAGTTTGCCCAGCTGGCGGACTCTCTAGACGCCCCATGCCAAGGACTAAGAGGCCAGCGGAGAAGAATGCTGCAGTGACCGGAGAACTGGGCTTGAAGTCGGGACCCGAATTTGAGCTCCAGCTCTGCTCTTTTCTACTTGAACTGCCTTGAGCAAGTCATTAATCCTTTTTCTTCTGTGAGATGGAACAGTGGTAATTCATTCTGTCAGGTCCTACCCGTACCATCAGGGGATTTTAACGTGAAAGCGTACTCTGGTTTGTTGTGTGTGGATCTTTTTTTCAGGGTGGGTAATGGGCAGAGGGAGGGGGCAGCCAGAAAGCCCTCCCATCCTTTCTTGGGTGACATGCAGGTGACGGTGCCCCTTTGGTCTTTGGGAAGAAAGGGGAATGGGATCAGAGACACGTACCTGTGTGGCTGCTCTCCGCCTGGGTGAGGAGGGGGTTAACGGCACCCATGGGGGTTCCAAAGATGTGGGTAGAAGGGAGGCTAAAGGTAGAGCCAGCCAGAGAAAACACCTGAGGGAAAGGAGGTATAGTCCAGCCTGGTGGTTATTCTTGGATCTAGGGCACAACTGTGTGAGGGAAGGAGGGGATCAGGTAGGTGTACTGGGGAGGAGAGAGGACCAGAGTGGGAGACATTCTCTCTCAATCTCTCCCATGGAGAGCTGGGGTCCTAGGCAAATTGTCCCCTACATGCCTAGGGATGCAGGAGCCCAGGAGTAAGGCCTCACCTGAGTGGTGGAGATAGAAGCAGAGGAGGAGGGGAGGGTGCTGGTGAATGGGGAGCGGCTGAGGCGGGGCAGGGCCGAGGTCCCTGGGGGCCCCAGCAGGCTGGAGGAGAGGGGGGTGCTGCAGACAGCTCGCAGCATTCCGCCACTGCCACCGTGGGAGATGGGGTCCTTATTACTGGTGTAGATGCCTACAGGCAGAAGGACACAGAGGGAAGCTTAGTCCCCATTCCCCCTTGCGCTTCCTCCACCAGGTGCCTGGGGCAGCCCCTCCCCAGGGAGAACACTCCCCCAGGTCTGGCCACACACACCAGTTTAAGGCTCCTCCTGCAAAGATGTCACATCTGCCTGTGACATCTGCTTGATATGCCTGCTTATTAGACTGCCCTGCCCAGACCTGGGGGATTGCTGGCTTTCCTAACAGGTAGCCCCTATGGGCAGTCTACCCCAGTCTCTCCCACTACAAGCCTGCCGCTGATGGGTGTGGGGGAGTATCTCAGAGGGGACTATCTCTTCCCTCCTTCGTCTCTGTCCTTTGGAGCAGGTGCTATCATTTCCCTCCAACTGCATGTTTATGCCTCTATCCCCTCAGTAGACTGGCTGGGCCGAGAGGCCCAAGGGTCACTAACCTGCCCCTAGCAGTGGGGACTCCAGGCTCAGGCTAGGAAGGCTCCCTGAAGGCCCAAAGGTGCGGGAAGCCAGGCCACCCAGGCCAGAGCTGACCAGGGAACCTCCAGAGAAGGGTGAAGCAGCAGTGGCAGTAAAGCCAGCCAGCTGGGCACTGGGCAGCGAGGGGGCGGCCGGGCCCCCGACCCCCTCCTTGTTCCGGCTGCCCTTGGGACGACCCGGTCCATGCCGGCTCCTCTTGCTAGCTTTGTGCTTCTTCTCCTTCAGGCCTGTCTCATGGGTCTCCTCAGCAGGCGCAGGGGCAGCACTCAGTGTGGGCATCCGCTTGTGGGTGCCTGCTGAGGCCCCGGACCCCGAGACGTGGGGAGACTTATAGTCTCCAGGGGACGGGGCCCGGGCCCGGCCCGAGCTGGAGGTGGTGGTGGAGAAGCGCATGATGGGCCCAAAGCCAGAGAAGACCACCTTCTGCTCGAAGAGGTCAGCCTTGGGGGGCTCAGGGGCTGAGGGAGAGGGGGGTGCTGAAGGGGTGGGGGCTGCGGGCTTGGAGTACTTGTCCTCCTCTGGCTGCTCCAACTTGGGGAATGCGGAGAAGTCAGGGGAGCTCTGCAGGGACGAGACTGCACAGAGGGAAAAGTGAGTTACAGCTGGGCCGCGTGTCCCTCCCACCCCACTCCCATCTGCGCTAGCTGGAGAGCGCCTGGGTCAGGGGTCAGGGAAGCTGTCCCAGCTCTGCCGCAGTCTGTATGTCTTGGGAGGAGTGTCCCCAGCCCCAGCTTTCCTACATATGATAAAGGGGAAGGAGAAGAACTCCTGCCTAACTGATCTCACTGGACTATAGAGACTGTGGGACAGATCATCAGTGTTGGCACTTTAAAAATGGCACCTTATGGCACAAGGGCAGGGGATAACAAGTGCACACAGTTAGGGCAGCGGAGGGGTGGGGCTTGAGAGGGACTGGCGGGGGGAGGGCTTGGAGAGGAGTCATTGGGTGGGGATCTCCCATCTTTAACCAATTTAAGAAGCAAATGAGATGCAAACCAGGCACTGGCTAGAGAAGCTCTGGGCAGGCTGGAGGCTGTCCCACCCCCAGCTTCCTCCAGGATGCCCATACTCACCTGCAGGCTGGAAGGGGCCCCCAGAGGAGGAGGAAGAAGAGGAGGAAGAGGAGGAGGAGGAAGAGGCGGAGGTGAAACTGCTCACACCTTTCCCACTGCTCAGTTTCTTCCCCTTGTGACTCAGGCTATGGCTGGAAGACTTTTTCCCCTTCGAGTCCCTGCTGCTCTCAGAGGTCTCCTGAGTGCTGGCCTCATGGTGAGAGGAGGAAGAGGCTGAGGAGGGGACCTGAGAGGAGGAGGAGAGGGGAAGGCTCAAGGCCAGCTGCCCCGGCTCACCCAAACCCGGAAGTGGGGTAGGAGAAGGCAGGGCCCAGGCTCTACAGGGAGAGCCCAAGTTTGCTCTGGAAAGAACTTGTGGGTGTGAGGAGAGGGGGGTCGGTCTGTCCTTCACCTGAGGCAGAGAAGAGTGAAAACAGTCCCCGAGCCTGCACTAATGTGCCCATCTGATCATTCATCCATGCTTAGTGGTGCCGAAAGGGCTGGACTTGGACGGGCCTGTACTGGGGCGAGGGATCACTGCCCTGGCCCCATCCTTGAACCCCCCCAATCATCCTGCCCTCCCCACTCACCCTGAGCCACAGCCCACCTGATACCCCATTCTCTGGCCACGCTGTGCCCTTCCTAAACCACATGAGCTCGCAGGGCCCAGCCCTCTGCCAGGACAGCCTGGCCTCAATCTCCCCGGGAAACTTCTCATCCTTCCAAATTCAACTTGGAAGTTCATGAGGCCTCTTCCATGGGGCCACCTGGCTCCCCGGGGTGGACCCAGTCACTCTGTCTCCTTAGTTCCAGAGCTCTGTGCACTCACATCAGCCACATCAACAGATGCCACACTGATCTGAAATATACAGTCCCCACGTCTGAGGCTTCCAGCAACCCCTCTGAGGGCAGCAGGGTAGTGGCTGGAGGAGCATGGGCTCTGGGGTCAGGCAGGGCTGGCCATGAGCCTGGTGGGCTCTGCCATCTACTGCAGAGACAGTGTCCCGTGGTAGGTAAGAGTATGGGCCCTCAAGACTGCCTGTGTTCAGATCTTGACTCCACTATTTACTAGCTATGTGCTTTTAGGTAAATTACTTCTCTATGCCTCAGCTTCTTTATTTACTGGATGAGTTTTTAAAAAATACCTAATTTGGGGTGCCTGGGTGGCTCAGTCAGTTAAGCGTCTGACTTCAGCTCAGGTCATGATCTCACTCACTGGTTCAAGCCCCGCATCGGGCTCTGCGCTGGCAGCTCAGAGCCTGGAGGATGTTTCGGATTCTGTGTCTCCCTTTCTCTCTGCCCCTCCCCTGCTCACGCTGTCTGTCTGTCTCTCTCTCTCAAAATAAATAAACGTTTAAAAAATGTATTAAAAAAATACCTAATTCATTGGATTATTTTGAGGACTGAATGAGTTGAATTTTGAATCCCCACGTACCCCTTCCATTCCCCTGTTCTAGAAGTGACTTTGCCATGTAGTGAGTGAGTTAAGGCTTCGTGTTACTGCCAGGGATGGTGCTTTTCCTCCCAGTAGAGACCAGGTACTCAGTAAACAAACAAATGCTAGAGGAAGGGTGGACAGGGCATGAGAGCTGCCCTGTGCTGCCCTTCCCTGGGCGAAGGCCCAGTCTCTGTCTTCCTCTTTGTTCTTTTCAACAGCTGGAGTTCTGAAGGGAGCCAGATGTGGTTCTGAGAGCAAAGGAGGAGAGGGGCCAGGGGGAGGGGTAGCTGAAATGCTGGGGTGGGTGGAGGGGGATGGACAGAATGCTCCCACATGGCCAAGGGGACACCTGGCCACTGGGAACTCCCGTATCTCTCGCCCTATTTCCACCTGCGTACAGGCCCCTGGGAAGGGTCAGAGGGCACGAATGACAAGCTTTTCCAGGTGAGCCCTGGAAAGCAGGCTGGGGCTGGGAGGGGTTTACTGGGACAGTTGCTACATCGTTACCCTGGAAACCTGATACCTGAGCCTCCTGCTAAGATGCCCAGAGCTCTGCCAAACTCCTAAGGCAGGTGGAGGTGAGGGGGGTAGTAGTGGTGACAGAAAGAAGCAGTTTCTCCAGGCCCCTGTGCTCTTCTGTGGGTGGGTGGGTTGCGGGGGGGCGGCGCTGGAAGGAGGGGAAGGAAGGGCTGCTCTGGCTTGGATTAGCAACTCCCTAGCCTCGGGTAGGGCCTGCTGGTTACTCCTCCAGATGTTGCCCATTTCTGGAGACAGGCCTGACATCCCAAGCCCTGGGAAGGATGGGAAGAGCAGGGGTTTTGGGGTGCTGTCCGTGGGCCTGCCCCATACCACCATGGGATTTTGGTTGGTCTGGGCAGCGTCCTGATGTGGCAGAAGGGTGAGAGCACAGGGGTCCTCTCTGCCTATCTCTGGGGAAATGGGCCTCAGAGCTTGAAGAACCAGTCTGAGTACTGTACCCGCAGACAAGAGCCCAGTGCTGAGACTGTGTCTGGACAGAGGCAGATGTAAATATCTGGCAGCCAGTAGGCAGGGCAGCACCCCCGCACCCCCCACCCCACCCGTACCCTCCTGGTTGGTCAGTGGTTGGTGGGGCTGAGAAGCACCCGCTGGGCTAGGCTAGGGGAAGGGAGAGGGGTAGGGTGGGGAACAGAGGCACATTAACTAGAAGCTGCTGAGGGGGGTGCCCAGGGTCCCTGGCTCGCTCTGACCCTCACAGCTTGCCTCCCTCCCCTTCTGGGTCATTCCTCCTGGGTGTGGGTGGCAGTACCTTGTCAGCAGTGGGGACCACGGGTGGGGTGAGGATGCTGGGAGGTGACTCAGGCCGCTTCTTGTGCTTCTGTTTAAGGCGTTCTTTGTCCTTTCGACTCTGGGGAGAGAGAAGTGACCAGACACGGGTTGTGGGGGACAGTCCGGGGTAGGATAAACATGACATGCGCCTGAGCGGAGGGGTCACCTCTCATGAATGGGCTTTGCCGGCATCATCTCCCCCTGTGGAGGGACTGGGGGGCTGAGGCTGGAGGAGATCAGCTCTGGCAGGTTGCTCTGAGAGCCACCCGCCCCTCCCCCTCATCCTCACTGCTTGCTAAAAATAGCCTGTCCCATTATCACGCCAGGGACACAGAGCACCACACACATGAGCACATACCTGCAAGGGGTCCACCTGGGGTGTGGAGCTGTGCAGAGGGATGGGGACCGGGTGCGCCAAGAGGTATGGCGCCAGGGGGCCTACACAACTGGGCTGGCACATGGCTAGACTGTGGAGGTGTCTGCAAACGTGCAGGGCCATGTGTCGAGGGCTTGGGAGGCACTGTCATGTCCTGGGTCACGGAAATCCAGAAAACCCCAGGGAAGCCAGGCCCTCATCTTCCCCTCCAGGACTCTCCTGTGTCACTTTCTCAGCCTTCTGCTGGCCCTCAGTGGCCTCAAAGGAAGGAAGGGGGCAGGCCCCAAGACCTCAGGGGCACCTTGTGGTGACTTCTTGAAGTTGTGTGTTTGTGGGTGTGGGCAGGAGAGGGAAAGGAAGAAGACACTTATTTACCTTCTTCTGGCCCCTTTCATGGTGGGAAGGGTGCTTCTCCTGCTGGGTGGATGGTGAGGCTGACCGGCTTCTCCGGCCAGCAATAAAGCCACTGCCACCTGCCCCTGTACCGCCTCCGCTTCCTGCTCCTCCGCCACCCCCACTGGTATGCCGGGACGTCTTCTGGGGAAAGAAGAGAGAGGAACTGCCAAACCCTCCTTTCGATAGCTGAGGACAAGATTCCTGAAAGTCAAATGATCCCAGGGGCCAGTTCTTCCCACCCTCCTTGTCACTACAGGGACCTTGTATCTTCAACGATGCTCTGTTCAGCAAAAGGCATTCTCTAACCATAAATGCTAGAGCTTCCCAAGATGGCTTATCCAATGAAGATTCAGCAACTGAGGCCCTGAAGAGCTAGAGGCATCTTGGCCCCAGCAAGGTATCACTGGAGGTAGAACAAGGGCCTGGGTCTCTTATTTTCCACCCACCTCTTCCCATGGAGACTCTTAATCTATCTCGAGCAGCCTGGGCCATGGCCCAGTCCTGCCTCGTTCCCTGGGAAAAGACACGGGGGGAGGGTGCTCATGGGGAGTCCCCTGCTCCTCTGAATTCCACACCCTTCCTCCTCACCAGCCCAGACACTCTGCTCCAGCCATCAGTCCTTTCTTGATCCTGGCCCTCCCCCTCCATCAGACACAGTGGCTCCTTCTGTCCCAAAGGACCCAATGCCGTTTAGAAGCGGGAGGTAAACATACACAACAGCAAAAACCCAAAGGATCCTCGTGCTGCCTCTCCTCCCAGCCAGGGCCTGCCCCCTCCTTCCCTCCACCACTGATGACTGCCCCCTGCCTGACAGCTTCACCTGTGCCAGACTTGCAGGTCCCCCACTATCCCCCAACTGCCAAATCCAACTAACTGCAGGCTCCGTCCTACCCAGTTGCTCCCCAGTGGTGGGTACTGTTCCTAACTTGCCAAGCACTAGACTCTCCCCTTCATGGACCCTGTCACACCTTGACCCACCGTATCCTGCTGGGCACTTGAGGGCTCCAGCCCAGCCTTCTATACTTAGGGCTGCCAGCACTGCCCTGTTTGGGGGACTGACAGCCACCAACCCTGAACAGCCCCGCTTGGCACCTCCTGTGAGCCACCCTGAGCTCTCTACCTTGTCCTAAGTCATCATTTAATCCTGAAACCAAGGTGACCATCTAATTTATGATCCAAACCGGGACACTTTGAAAACCGAAAGAGGGAACTATTAATACTTACACCGGGGTGACAGGCACGAAGCGGAGCTATCCAGGGCAGAACAGGACGTATGCCAACCCTACAGAAGCCCACTGCACCCCGTTCATAGCATTCCCAGGTGTCCAAGCACCGAGAGCCTGGGTCCTCTGTCCTACCCTTAAATCCTCTTTCTCAGCCACCCCTACATGTAGGCCTGTCTACCTAGCAATGGTTCTAGAGTCCAGCCCTGGCCCCCCCCTGCCCCTTCTCACAGCTGTCTCCCAGCCGCCAGCCTCAGCCCTTCAGATCCAGCTTCACAGCGGCCTGCCAGGGTAATCTTCCTAAAAAACAAATCTGATCATATTACCCGCCTGCTTACAAGCCTGTGGCCCAGGGGGTGAGGGCCCAGCTGCATTCCCAGTCAGGCTGCACCCCCCTCACCAGGGTACCCCCTAGTTTCTGGAATATACAGGTCTCTCCACAGACGATGAACAGGACCCCTCCTCCAGCCTCTCCCTGGGCCCGAGGCCTAGGGCAGAAGCAAGCCCCACTCTGGCCCTGCCTAAACATCCGGTCACCTCCTGCCACATCCTCACCAAGCGCCCTGTTCTGTTTACAAGTCCTCTTTTCTGTCTCAGGACTTTGCCCATGCCGGTCCCTCTGCCAGGACTCAGTTCTCTCTGCCTTTGCTTGGCAGGTCCCCAAGGAGCTTTCAAATCAAGTTGTATGTTCAGATTCCCACACACTTGCTGTGGGATGTTGCATGACCTAAGTGTGAGTCTTAGTTTACTCATCTGTAAGTTGGGAAGATACAGTACACCTAGTTCTTAGGGTTGTGGGGCAACCACATAAAATGACACATGAAGAGGGCAGAGTACAGAGATTGGGGCACAGTAACCGCCTCAAATGTTGGCTCTCGCTGCCTCCGCCTCCACTCAGCTTAAATGCTGCCTCTTCCTTGAAGCCTACCAGACTCTTGACAGGCAGGGTCTGAGCTTTGTCTTCTGGGATGGACTGGCCAGTTCAGCCCTCGTTCACCCACCTGGGGCTGGACTTCAATCTATTCCTTACCCAGTGGCAACCTCCACAGGGCGGAGACTGGGTTCCTTCCACTGTGGTCCTACCGGTATCAGGCAACAGCCTGGCCCAGAGCCCATACCCTCGAAAGCTGACTTAGAGGGTAAGGCTGACTGACCCATGCATGCCCTGGCCAAGGACACTCACCATTTTGCTGAAGTGGTATTTGCAGTAGCCGCAGTACTTGACGTTGTCCACCTCCAGCACTTCCTCCTCACACAGCAGGCCTGCCATTTGGGCACTAACCGAAAGAGGTCAGCCTGAGAAGGGGGTGGCCGCAAGCCGGACCAGCCGCCTTCTTTCCACCCTCCCGGACCGCGGCTAGGGCGAGGCCGAGGCCATCCAACGAAATCGCTGCCATCACCACCAAAGAGACAGCTGTCCACAGCAAACCTCGGAGCGGGGGGTCGGTGCGACCGGGCAAGGATCCCAGAGAACCCTGGAGGGGGTGCGGGACGGGCAGGGGTCTCACCAGGTGACGTGGAAAGCTTGCCGACACCCATGGCGGTTGCACGTCATGCAGGCTCCCGAGGCTGCCTTGCTCTCCCGGCCCTGCTCCTCACAGATGTAGCAGGTCTGCGGGACACAGCGCAGTTGTCCCCTCCTCTCTTCTACCTGTGGGATCCCTTGATCTGCTGCTCCCTATTCTCTCCCCGTGACCCTAGGTCAGGGCTGTCCAGTCCAAGATTTTGTGACGATGGAAACTTTCCATACTTCGCTGTCCAACACAGTAGCCATGAACCACACAGGCTATGGAACACTTGAAACGCGGCTGGTGTGACCGAGGAATGAATTTTAAGTCGCATTTAATTTCAATTAGTTTACATAACCACATGCAGCCGGTAGATACCATATTGGACGGGACTGTCCTTGGGCGGTGAGCCCTGGAAGGCCGGGACCACGTCTGCCTTCTTCACAGGGAGCGTATTCCCACCTCTGGGGCTTCGCGCGACTCGTCCCTTCTGCGGGGATCTGGAACCCCACCCCTCCTCAAGGCTGGCCTCAGCCTAAATGTCTCTTTCCCTGACCATTTTATCTAATATAAGTCCCCCCCCACACACACACAAGGTACTTATTTTAGTACCTTATTTGTTTTCTTCACAGCACTTACCACAAACTGCACTTAATTTATTTGCCTGTTTTTTGATATTTACAGCCTTCCCACACAGAAGGGGGAGTTCCGTGGGGCAGGGACCACATCTGTTTTGAGTACCTCGGCCCCAGTTTGGCACATAGTAGGCATTCAGTACAATGTGTCCAGCGAATGAACGAACAAGTGAGCTGGTTGCTAAGGCCCACCCTCGGGCAGTACTAGCGCAAGGGAGCCTCCTACTTCACTGGAGCCCCAGAGCACAAGCACGGGTCAGTCAGTGGCAGGTGACTACCCACCTCCTGAGTCCCCCTTTGGCTGGACAGAATCAAATTACACCGATGGAGAGAGAGCTAGAGAGACCCAAGGATGGTGGGACGGGGCGCGGGGCGGGGCTGGTATGGGAACGGCCGGGGCCGCTGACCTTGTTGAAGCGGTCGTGGGGCACGTACTGCAGCACGATGGGCTCCATGGTGAGCACGTTGGCAAACTGCACCTCCGGGATGTAGAGGGCACACACCACGTGGGCCCAGCCTGGGGTGGTGGGGAGCTGGCCTCAGCTGCCATGGCAACCTGAGACCCCGGCCCCTCATAACCCCACACTAAGGTCAGTCCCCTCCTCCACAGCCTTCCCATCAGACTCCAGGCCTGGCCGGGCCAGGGAAGGAAAACCCAGCTTCCATCCCTCCCTGATCCTTTCCCCGCCCTCCCCCGACCCCCAGTCCACTCCTGACTTCCCAGACCCTGCTCAGGGGGCCTTGCTGACCTCAACAGATGAAGTCTGGGGCTCAGGGACCCCCTCACCTCCATTATCAGTCCTCTTCAATGCCCCGTCTTTGTGTGGGCACAGCTCACACCTCTGCCAATGCAAGGGGGCACAGGGATTTGGAGGGGGGTTCCAAAAGGGAGTGGGGGATCTGCTGAGCTGGGCCCTTCCTGAACACATTCAGAGGGCCCCAGGATGAAATAAGCTGTCTATGGGGGATGTGTAGGGATATGAAGAAACAGGTTGGCTATGAGTGATAACTGTCAGAGACCAGCGATGGGGACAGGAGGTTCACTATAGTATTCCCTTTCCTTTTGCTCACGTTGGAAACTTTCCTTGATAAAAAGTCCAAGCAAACTAACAAACAAAAATCAAAAGCTCAGGGCAGGAGGTGGCACAGAGCGAAGGATGAGCTGGGGGAGAGGTGGGCTGATGATAGATGTGCAGGAAACAGGAAGTCCTGTGCGACAGTCCCACCCCAGCCTCAGCCCCAGAGTCCCCTGGTTGAACTGGGAGGAGATGCTCAGGTGTACAGAAGTGGGGAGGGCGTCTCAAACTCACCACCCTGGCTGCTCGCTCCTGAGATTCACATTTCCGGCAGAACCAGGGTCCCGTTGGCACCTGGACGATGCCGTAGCAAGCTGGGGGTTGGGGAGAATTACCAAGCAAATCTGTCAGCCCTGGTTTTCCCCAGAGCAACTGGGGGAAGAGGGGGAACTCTAACGGAGGGGTGCTGCTCCCCTGTCTGGAGTCCCTCACTAAACAGCAGGACCACAAGAAATGCCCAACAGCACATGGCCAGCCTTCAACCATACAACCAAACACTCCGGGCAGGGATGAGAAGTCTGAGTCCTTGACCTTAAACTTCTAGAAGACCCCATGCTCTTTCTGGACCTGTTTCTCAACTCCTGCCTACGAACAAGTCCTCTTCATCAGGAATAGAGAAAAACAGAGGGACAACATTTACAACAGTCAAACACGTTTTGTTGTTATGGGGGGGGGGGATTTCTTAAAGGGCCAGTAAGGGAAGAGATGGGGAAGTAGGGGGTCCAGGGACCTCACCTTAAGTCCCTAACTGTAATAGGTACATGTCAAAAGTCAAGGCCAAGGGCAGGTGCAGTGCAGGTAACCGATAGGAGAGTGGCGGGAAGAGCGGGCAGCGATAGCATTAAGGGCTGTCCCAGGAAGGGGGGGTGGGCAGCTGGCTATGCCAGACAAGCGGGAGATGCCAGCCTGCGCCCTCGGCAAGACTCCTCAAGGAGTTAACTCCCGAACCATGTGCTGTTGGGGGAAACTCCGAACCTCCCTCTTCTCTTCCCGGCCCCCTGCACAACCTGGCTCCTATCCGCAGCTCTTCCCGGAGGGTTTTAGGAGTCCCTTCTCCCCTGGGACCCTTCTCCTCCCTTCCCAATTCCGCTCCTCCCAGTATCCGGAAGCGGGAGGGGGGGATGACCCCCCCTTGACCTCTCCCTCCGGGAGCCGGGACCAAAATAACCGGGCGGGAGGGGACACCTCGCAGGTAAACATTCCCCCAGCAGCCCCGACACTGGCGGTGTGGGGCGCGGAGAGTGCGCTCAGTGCCCCCTAGTCTGTCCCCAAACTCCCTCAACTTGGGGTGGGGGGCGCGGGACTGGAACAATAGGCAAGAAAACAATGCCTGACCCGGTCCTCCAGGACCGGGCGGGGGGAGCCCCCTGACGCCTCCCTTCCCCTCAGGTGGGGTGGGGGAGGGGCGCCCGAGCCCCAGGAGGTCCCCGGAGGGCGCGGCCGGGGGCTCCCCGCTCGCGCCGCCCCCGGGGTCCCGCCGCCCCCCGCGGGCCACCCCCGTACCTTGGTGGACAGCCACGCTGCACGCGTGCCCATCACAGTAGACCAGCGGGTTCTCGGCCCAGCCCCTCTCGTCCGAACATACGCAGCAGCCTCCTACCATCTCCTTCATACTCCCATGAGCTCCCTCCGGGGCTGGGGCGGGGGGCCGGCCGGCGGGGGTCGGGGGTCAGGGGGGGAGGGAGGGAGCGGGGGGCCGCGCGCCTCCTCGCTCCCTCCTCCTCCTCCTCCGCCGCCGCCGCTTCTTTTCTTTGCCTCCTCCTTCCTCCTCCTCGGCGTCCTCCTCCTCCTCCTCCTCCTCCTCGCTCGCTCTGTCTGGCCGCCCCCCCCGCCGTGCTCTCGCCCTCATGCCCCGACGGGCCCCCCCCCCGCAACAATGAGACCCGCGCGCCGGGTTCACCCCCTCCGCGCCGCGCGCCCGGCTACCAGGGCCGCCCGGCCGCCGCACAGCCCGGGCCCGGCGGGGGAGGCGCCGAGTGGCACATCGCGGGCGCCCGCCCGCCCCGCGCCGCCCGCTCACGCGCCGCCCCCCCGGCCCCCCTGCCCGGCCGCGGCAGCCATGGCCGCGCGCCTCCGCTCGCTCGCTCCCGGCCCGCCCGCCGCCCGCCGCCGGGTAAAGTCTTAGGTTCAGGGAACAAAGCCTGGCTTGGTAGGGAGCTTTTCGCTCACTCGCTCGTCGTTCACTCCGCGCGTATTTTTCCCTCTTTCTGTTTCTTTCGGTGGCTGTCGGTTGTTGCTCCCGAGCTCTCCCTTTGCCTGCCCTTCAGTCTCGGCCGGGGGTCTCCGATTCTCCATACCCCTCCGCCCAGGTCTTCGTCTCTGCTCTTCAACCCCAAGGAAACTCAGAGATGGAGATCAGAGGAAGGGGCGCAAGAAGGAACAGGAGCTACGTGGGCCACTTTGCCCTTCCGTGTCTGGGGGGGTGCTCTCTGGGTGGCCGTTCTTGGGGTCTTTCCTCGGAGGCCCCTCTGGAGGGTAGACACTCTCACGTGCAGACGTTTGTTCATTACACAAATATTTATTGAACGCTTACTGTGTGTAGCCGCTGGGTAGTGCAGTGAAACAAAGTACAAAACAGGTATAGATTCCTGCCCTCAGGGAGCTTCCGATCCAGTGTATAGACTCAGACGCGCGCCCACAGGGACTCAGACCCATTAGAGGCACACCGAGGCACCCACAGACACACAAACTCACCCCCAGCCTCATCCAGCCACACCATCTGACCCTCCCAGAGACATAAACCGCAGGTCCGACCCCGCAGGCACGCTTATAATAGACCCACGCCAGTTAGAGACCCACGACTACGGAAGTGCCTGCAAACAACACAGTTACACTTGACCTCTAGGCACACACACAAACACACAACAGACACTCACACACAGCACCCCCAAAGGATCAAAGCCCCTGAAATTGGGTCTGGGAAGAAGTGAGGGTGTCCGGCCGATGGCTTTATCCCAATACCGGAGTGGGCCAAGGGGACGCAATCTGATCCCCCCTCCCACTTCCTAAAGGGGGAGACAGACGCTCTCAAGGACCAAAGGTCACACTCCCTCCGCGGGAGGTGGGGTGGCGGAGGGGAGAAGGCAGCCCTGAGGGCTGCTGCGACACTTCAAAGACCTCGCGCCCGGGAACGCTTCCTGCGGGGGAGGGGCAGGCAGAGAGGAGAGGGGAAGAGCTGCAGGGGTACTTGAGGGTGGAGGAGGCTGCCCCCCTCTTCCGCGCACTGCCCCCCTGGCCGACTCTTCCGCCGGGACCGCCTCCTTTTCACCCGCACCTGTTCAACCGGAACATCAAGGGGCCAGGACCCGCCGCCACCCCTCCCCTCGCGTCTATTTAGTACCTTTCATCCCGGAAGGGGGGGGTGAATCCCCGCCCAGGAGTGGGGGGGAGTAGGACGGGGGAGAACTTGTCCTTGACCTGGTCTTTGGCGTCAGGGATTTACTCCCTAATCCCAGCGACACTGGCGTTTGGGGAGGTCGGGGAAGCTGAGCTCTGGGCTATAGCCCTCCACCTCCCTCACTGCTGCGAGGACCCAAGAATCCCGGAGGGCTGCCAGGACGTAGAAGCTCTAAACGGGCGCGGCTGGGAGGAGGCCCGTCTCTGCCGCTTCCGTGCCTGGGGGAGGGGGCCGAGGGCTAGGGGATTGTCGGGGCGGCCAGAGGACCGGGCTCCCTGCGAGGAGTGCCAAACGCCGGTGTCTTGGTCGGCTTTGTGAACTTCGCTCATACGAAAAGTTAAGAAAAAGACGAGAAGTCTCACTTAGGAGTCTCTAACGAATTATTTTTACTGACAAGAATAAAACTTGAAGAGAAGTAAACGCAAAAACGTCAGTCCTAGCCGTGCACCATTTTCGGAATATTTGAATTTTTGCTTTCGGGACCAACCGCGGCCGAAGTGGCCGAAGTTTCGGGTTTCGCCGGACAAGGGTCACTCGAAGGCCCATCGGTCCCTGAATCCAGGGGTGGGCGACCTGGAGACTGGGGCCGAGGCGGCTTGTTCTCTGGGTCTCATTCCGTGCGGGTGTACCGTCCAAAGATTGTGTGGTGAACGCGAGATACTTGGGCATTTAGTAAGTGTATTGGGACCACGGTTTCGTTTAATCCTCTCCACAACCCTTTGGGGTGGGTGTTAATATCCCATTTTATAAACAGATTAGCTGAGGTTCTGGCGGATGAACTGACTTGCCCAAAGTCACACAGCCTGAAAGCGGCAGAGCGAGGACTTGAACCCACTCTGTCCTTTGCTAGGCTGGGGGTCCGTCACCACGTGTAGGTCGAATGTTTGTGTTTAACTGGGATGTCCGCTCAGCGCCGTGTTCCCTTCCGAGGTCTAGGGAAACTCCGCGTCCCGCGGATTGGGTTGGATTAGCGGCGGGTGCTCCTATGGCTGAGCTGTAAAAGCTCATTCCCGGTCTTCCAATATTTTCCTGAGAACCTACTACGTGCTCCTACACACACACACACACACACACACACACACACACACACGAGCAAGAACAAGACTCAGCCAACAAGTGGTTCAAGTTCGTCGTGCTCTCCTCGGCGTAACTGAGCACTGTTTTGGGATGTCACGCTGATCCTGGCTGTGCGGTTTTCGGCGAGTGACTTGCCCTCTCGGGCTCAGCTTGTTCCCCGTAAAATGGGGCGTTAACTCCCTCTGGCAAGTGCTGTAGTGAGGATCTAACGAAAATCCTTTTGGAAAGCACCGAGGCACACAGTAGGCGCTCAATCCCTGCTCCGCCCGCCCCTCTAAGCTTGCCAGGGCAGCGTGTTCCCGCTCCCGCTTCCCGCCTCCAGCATCCTCGCCCTACTCGCGCGTCCCGCGGCTGAGGGACTGGGGCAGAGAGGACCAAACAGAAAATTATTTCCGCCCGCTCGGCCCGCCCCGCCCCGCCCCGCCCCGCCCGTCCCCGGAGCCAGAAGGGGATTGTGGGGCCGCCGCGGCCGCCGCCGGAGCCGAGCGGGGCGGAAGCGCGCGTAGCGCTGCTGCTCGGGCCCGACCGCGCCGGCCCCCGCACCTCCCTGCCCGGGACTTCGGGCTGTGGTCAGGGCGGTCCCGGGGTCCGAGGCGGCTGCCGCCGCGCGCGTTTCCACGAAGACTGTCTTGCCGGTTCCTAGAACCGAGCGGGGGAGGCTGAAGAGTGCCGAGGTTTCGCTTCTGCCTAGCTGGCCGGGCGCTCGGTTTCGCGCGTCCCGGGGACTGGGGGCGCGCCCTCCCCGTTAAAAAGCCCCGGGCTCCGGGAAAGAACTGCGCCGGCGCCCGCGGCTTTGCGTTTCTTTTGCGTCCCGCTTTTCCCTCCCGAAAACCGAGCTTCTGACCTTGGGGCGATCAGAGAGGTTAAGTTACTTTCCCTAGGTGGCCCAGTCGGTTTAGAGGCTTCAGGTGGGTTCCTGCTGGTTGGAAGAGCCTGTCGTGGCGGAACAGAAAGAGGAGCGCTAGCGTCAGAAAGACGCGGGTTCAAGACCCAGCGTAGCCGCTTACTGGCTTTGACCGTCGGTTAGCAACGCGTTATCTGCGACCCTCAGTTCCCTTGTCTCAGAGTGTGGACGGTGGTACCAGCCCCGGGGTCGATGCGAACGGTGACGCTGTCAAGTGGTGCCGGGCACAGGGAAGGGTGATTTCCCAGTCAAAGGTTATGACTCTGAAGTGGCCTCTCCAGTAGGCCTGGCTGGGGTGCGAGGGTGGGTGTGCGGGGTTCTTTCCTAAGTCAAACATCCTGTGCGAGAGGGAAAGAGGATCGATTTAAAGAGGAACTGGTGGGAGCGAGGGGATTCCCCAGGCATTAGGAAGCCAGAGTCGTCATGATTATTGTAAATAGTGACTCTGCATGGGTGGGATTTTTGGCTTTTCAGATCTTTCTACGGGAACAGCACAGTAGTTAGTGTCATATCCTGCCTCTGCCACTAGCTAGCAGTGTGACACAGTCTTGGTACCTCAGTTTGCCAGTCTGGAAGATGGGCATAATTGGATGCCTTCTTCCAATCATCAGGGCTTTGGCAACTCCAGCCAGCCCAGGTCCCAGTAGGTGCTTTAAGAGCTTCAAGTGAGCCGAAGTAGTCCCTCCAATTACATTAGGGCATAGGGGACTTCTTTAGGGATCGAAGATGGGTAGGAAAGGAAGAGGTTCATGGGGGTAAAGTAGCCATCTGCCCAAAGTTTCCCCAGAGCTACCTGGAATCTAGTTCCAGCCCTGCCCCTAGCCAGCTGTGACCTTGGGCAAAGCACTGCCCTGTCTGGCATTTGGTTGGGTGACCAGATCTTGACAGTCTCCTTGGAGTTAACATTTTGTGGTTGATGACTGTGCTCCTGGGAACTTTACAGACAGAGGTGACAGATGAACCGCATATTTGCTCTGCTGCGTTCCCCTTTTCCACCAGTTCCTCCTGAAGTCCGATTTCCCTTCCTCCTGTTCTAATTGCCGTCGGGACAGAAGTTGAAAGAGTTGTATTATTCAGTCTTTTAGCAAACGCTTCATTGAATCATCATGGATGGGCCATAGGAGAGACACAGCACCCAGGATGATGAGAGTGACTGTAGAGAAATAACTTCAAGGATAGAAGAGCCATGCTAGAGCTCAGTACGGTGCCAACACGGGCAGAAAGGAAATAACTGTGTTTATGGAGTCAGAGAAGGTCTCACCTGGGATCAAGGGGGTACATGCAGATAAGAGCATTCCAGGCAGGGAGTA